AGCAGTAATGCTTTTTTTTATTTTTTTGGTGCTATTCCTAGGGATTGAACTCAGGACCCAGGCACTGTTCCTGAGCTTTTGTTCAAGGCTAGTGCTCTAACGCTTCAGCAACAGCTCCACTTCCAGCTTTTTTTTTTTTTTTTTGTGGTTAACTGGAGATAAGAGACCCATGGTATTTCCTATCTGAGCTGGCTTTGAACTGTGATTCTCAGATCTCAGTCTCCTGAGTAGCTAGGATTACAGTCATGAGCCACTGGTGGCCTTGCTTTTGTTTTTTGTTTTCTTTTTGTTTTTTTTTGAGACAGGGTTCTTACTAAGGCAACCTAGGATGTTCCAGAGCTCACAATTCTCCTGCCTCGGCCTTCTGTGCCGGAATTCTAGGCATGTGCTACCCTTAATTTTTTTTATTACTCATACTAATACCATCTTCATATAACACACACAAGAATGGAAATATAGATTCATCTAATTAGAAGCATAAAAATCGACATGTTTTTTTGTCTTAAAATTCATACAAGGGAACAGGTATGTAACTACCACAAAAGTAAAAGAAAATATAAAGCAACACTTATATTTTCTTTAAATATTTAGAAATTACCAAGGATATGTTAGCCTGCAAAAATGTAAACTGCCAGTTTATACTTTCATTGTATTTCATACTACTACTGACTGTCGGCCTACAATTTAATCTATAAGTTCTTTAAATTATTGCTATTATATTGTTAAGAACATAATGTCTTCTAGTTCTAAAGCATATAATGCTGTTAAGCAACCATTTGGTTGAAAGTAAGAATTTACAGAGTGACTATCAAGTCTAGAAACACTAGATCTAAAAATCTAACCTATACTTACCTGAGGTTCTTAGGAAAGTAGAATGGTGAGGAAGAATGTATTCATTTGATAGTATTGAATGCAATTGAGTTTTTATATATTAAGCTCTGCAACTCCAAATATATTTTTAAAAACAAAATAGTCTATCACAAGTTTACTACTAGGTAAGGAATTCCAGTATATACAAACATATTTCCTTATATGGATGTTAGCATTCTAAAACAAAGAATAGCCTACTTTCAGTTAGTTTTTTTCTAAACTTTACAACTTTTAAGCAAAAGCCAGAAAAAAAAAACATCTTAGTAATGTTATGTTTGCCAAGTATGTCTGAATAATGCCAACGTAAGAGGTGCTTGAGCAAGATCTATATTCTCCAGAATTAAAACAAAACAAAAATAATTAAAATAAAACAATAAAAAAGAAAAGCACATGAATTTGGGATTGAGGTTGGAATAGGAGACAGTTTCAGACCTGGTTTAATCCTGAGAAAGATGGGTCCTGAGAAGTACTAACAGTCATGCTTCTTTTCCTCTTCCCCACTGGAGATTCTAAACACTAAACAGACAATAGAGGGTGGCAGTGCATCAAACAGTATTGCTTACATTGCAACAATGGCCGGCGCAGACAGGCAACACCGAGGCATTAGAGAAAGAACAGGGTAGCCAAATGCCATCCTTCTTCCACAAGCATGGTAGCTCTATCTCAGTTTTCCAAATAAGAATATCACATGCTTAAGAATATTTGAATTCTACAGAATACTTGAGTTTTTAATGCCACTATTATTGTGTCACTGCCTGAAACAGGGATAGCAATGGTGACATTTGGCTCTTTAATTTTTAAAGCAAAAATGGGGAATTTAGGTCTATAATCTTTGGTACCACAATCTGCCCTTCCCCCAAAAGAGATTGTACAGGGGAAAAAAAAATCTTCAGTAAGGAAGAGGTAGAAGGCATTTAGTCACCTTAGAATTTATTTTTGAAAGCATGCAGGGCTGATTACTGGAAGAAATGAACATATTCACTAAGATTGGAGTGGCCACTCCCAAATATCAAATTCAGAACAATTTTCCAATAAATTTAACTTCAAAAATCAACCTCAAAAGCCCCTCCCCCCAAACATTTTCCCCCCATGAATAGAAAACTACTGGAACAAACTAACCAAAGAATCCAGTCTCATAACTGGCATCTTGAAACTATAATACAGAAACACTAAAAACCAATCACATAAAACACTAAAATGTTCAAGAGCAATCTTAATTATTTTAATCTCAGTGAAGCAAAATAGTTCACATCTACCCAATAGTCTCTCTGAATCTGAGTAACAATAAACTGCTGCACAGAATTCTTAATATCTGCAAGGACACAGGCCCTATAATGTCTTTCACTACCAGGTAGTAACTCGGACTTCCCAACAGCCTTGTCATTAATGCATTATACTTAAGGAGGAATAACCCCCCTTAAAAAAGTATTATCCAGGCCATCTCTTAAACTGAAGGAAAAACTATGTCCTGCACTGTCATCATGCAGAATAACGGGACTGTTAGGGGTAAGAATATGGGAAAGAGAGGGCTGGGTAATGGCCAAAAGAAGAGTCAAACTGACAAAACTGCCCCCCAAATAGCATTTTTTTCCATTAAATTACCAGGTTTTGCAGTGAAAATTAAGAACCTGGACACTTCAATTCTTTGAAGCTATTATTTTTTCAAAATACAATTTGAGAAAAAAGTCACATATAGAATGAAAAATCTTTCATTATTTATGGTACAATAAAAAATGTAATCTCCTAAAACTTGGTCAGACTAACATTAATACCTCAGACATTAATAAGTTACAACAATTCCAATAATACGGCTCCAAGTTGGCATTCATACAGGCAAACAAAGGTAAACATTTAAAGCTGGACCTAAAAACACCAAACATTCCCTGGCAGTTTAACAAATGGGAATCTTCCTTCTAAAAACAATGTTCCCCACAAAACGAAAAAGCCCGCAAGTTGTCCTGAAGTTGAGAATTTCTATCAGATCAGATTTTAACATGCTTAATGCATTGCCAATGCTGCCTGTCTGCCCGAGCTTAACAATGAATGGATAAAGAAAGCAATTCACTCAATAACACTAATCATTGCAGAAACGTTTCAATACAATTAGTTTCTAACTGCAATCATGCGCCACTAGCTAAAAAACCCAATTGCCCCATAAGTTGATCCATTCTCAGAGACACTAAAGAACACTAATTTTGTTGTATGAATGTCATTTCACTTGTCTGTGTTTTCCTTTAAAAGTGGTGAACTCACCAGACTTGGCACCCAAGTTAAGAAATTGTTAACTACTTTTGAAGCAGGATCCCAAATTAGCCTTTCAAATACACAAATCCAAGGACTAAAGAATTCTCAGTATCAACCATGCTCAGTCAGCAAATGTTAACTCCAGGGTGACAGATGGGTCAGTGGTTCCCACACTGGCACAAACTTGTATTTACAAAACCCACACTAAAGGTTAAATCTGACTTTTAGCATTGAGAAGGAAAAGTATATAGAGATTTTTGCTATTCAAGTGAATGAAAAATATACAACTGTTCAATAGGTAAATAACAGATGATTCCAGTTCATTAAAAAGCCCTTGGAATTTTGAATTCCCATATAGGTAACTAACATGGTTGGTAAGTTGAAAAGAATATATTTCAAGTTACTTAGTTAATAAGAGTTAGCTGATTATCCTTCCAGCATAATCTTTTAAAGCAATTTCCATTTACTATGGCTTTTTAAAGACTGAAAAGTACCAAAGCAACTTGCCAATATTTTATTTTTTATTGTTTCATGCAAAAAAGCATTTGACTAACCTTATTACAGTGACGCCCAATACCCATTAGGAAGTTATCTGGCTTAATGTCTCTGTGTATAAAATTCTTTGTATGCACATATTCGATTCTACTGATCATCTAGAAAAAAGGGAAGCAGAGATAAAGTTAAGTGATAAAAGGAAATAACGGATTATTTCTCAAAGCAATTCAATACTGAAGTATTTGGGTTAATGATGGCATTAAAAAATATTAAAAAGTAAAAAAAAAGTACCTTATTTACTCCTAGCCTGATTGATATCTAAGTATAAACCCACAATGCCCTTTTGCTTGTCTTTCTAGTATTAATGGTTAAAAACATGGGTCTAATCTGGCAGAAGACTTGGTGTTTGCAATGTTCTAATTATAGACTCATCTCTAAACAACAGAAAGCTAGAAGTGGAGATGTGGTTCAAGTGTTAAGGTACCAGCCTTGAGAAGAAATAGCTAAGCCCCCTCTGTACAGTATTTTCACAAAAAAAAAAAAGAAAGAAAGAAAAAGCTGAGCAAGAGCTCAATGCCCAGAGTTTAAGCTTCAATGCTGGCCTAAAAGGACAAAAATTAAAAGAAAAACTGTTTTGTGTTTTTTTTTGTTTTGGTTTTTTGCCAGTCCTGGGGCTTGAACTCAAGGCCCTGGGCACTGTCCCTGAGCTTCTTTTTGCACAAAGCTAACACTCTACCACTTGAGCCACAGAGCCATTTTAGCTTTTGCTGTTTCTGTGGTACTGAGGAATCGAACCCAGGGCTTCATGCATGCTAGGCAAGCAATTCTACCACTAAGTCACTTTCCCAGCCCAAACCTTTGGATCTTTTTTTTTTTTTGGTCGGTCATGGGCCTTGAACTCTGGGCCTGAGCGCTGTCCCCCAGCTCTTCAGCTCAAGGCTAGCGCTCTACCACTTGAGCTACAGCGCCACTTCTGGTTTTCTGGTGGTTTATTTGGAGATAAAAGTTTCACAGACTTTCCTGCCCAGGCTGGCTTTGAACCACGATCCTCAGATCTCAGCCTCCTGAGTAGCTACCAAACCTTTGGATCTTAATTTTGTACCTTAAGGTAACTCATTTAAAAATAGTATGGTAGGGCATAAGGGATATTTCAGTGGGAGACTGTGTTTAGCATGCATACTGTCCTAGGCTCAATTCCCCTGTACCACAACATAGCCACACAAAACAAGCTAGGTAGTACCAATATCTATTTCCATGTTATTCATATAAACATGGCATAAAATATACACACTGCAACACACACACATATTTGGGAGTTGTTGACCAATTGATATTCATACTACAGTAGAAGCAGTCTTTCTTTTTCTTTAAAATAGTGACAGAAGTAAATTTATATTTTAATAGATCCAGCTGTATAGTTATAATGACATTATTTCCATAAGTTTTGTAAAAAATATACATGAAAATATTGAAATCAATGAATTAAGAAAACATTTATAGTTATATATTCTATTGTACCGTGACATATTCTAAGTAGATTATTCTTTTTATTTATTTATTTATTGGAGGGGTACATGTGTATGAGCGTGAATGTTCTGGGATGTCAACTCAAGGCCTTAAGCTCTCCACTCAGCTTTTTCACTCAATCTACCACTTCAGTCACACCTTCCACTTCTGACTTTTATTTGGAGATAAGAACCTCCCCAATTGTTTGTTCTGGACAGGTTTTGAACCTTTATCTTTAGATCTCAGCTTCCTCAACAGGAGGTTGGTTACAGACATGAGCCACCAGCACCCAGCTTCTTATTTGTTTTAACTAAACATAGCCTATACATTCCTCAGTTAGTGAATATAAATGCTTGGAAATTATGTCAAACCAAATCATGTAGCTTTTATTATATTATTATTAGCCAGGTTGAACTCAGATGTTCATATATGGTGAAGAAATGCTCTACCATTGAGCTAAATAAATCTTAAGCCCCTTTCCTTATTAATGTCTACATTATTCCGAGTTTGTAGATTTTTTTAAGTTTAACATAAATGTGTCTCAGTTACTCGTCTACTCACATTATTGTTTCTATTTTCACCCCATTCATAACAAAGGGCATATATTAATATTTATGCACATATTTCTCAAATACTAGTTAGTGCTTTTATTTGTATAGGCTATATATATTAATCCAATACAATCATGAAGAGTTGCTAAAGTATACACTTTTCATTGATAATACTCACAGAAATATTCACAGATAATATCCAGTCTTTCAAAATAGACCATAAACTTATTTTAGAGGAATACTCTTCTAATTAACAGTTATCTCACTCTTTTAAAAATTTACTAGCTTGCTTGTATGTCCCACAGACTTAGTTTAATTTGGATTTGCTACTTATTTTAATATTTTTCTGGCTTGTCTTTTTGCTGTCAATCTTACAGAGTTCTCTGTATACAACAATCTTTTTTGTTGTTGTTTTAGTCAGTGTAGGGGCTTGAACTCTGGGCCTGGGCACTGTCCCTGAGCTCTTCAGCTCCAGGAGAGAGCTCTATCACTTAAACCAGAGCCACTTCCAGTTTTCTGATTGTTAATTGGAGATAAGGATCTCGACTTTCCTGCTGAGGATGGCTTTAAGGCGAAATCCTCCAGCTCTCAGCCTCCCAATTAGCTAGGATTACAGGAATAAGACACCCCACCAGCACCATGACAACAATCTTTTATCTGCTATGGAAATAATTTCATATTTCTAGAATTTTCTTTTTACTGTTTAATGGCTTCTCAAAATACAAATTTCTAATTTCCAAATCTCTATTTTCTACTAGATATTTTTCTGAAGTTATATTTTAAAATGTATTCTGTATCTAAAGGTCGACAACATCATCTTCTATCCATACGTTCTTGTCCTTCTCATTGATACATATCAAGATCTATGTCAAAACAACCCACAAATATTTAGGTCACTTAACGTGCATATTTGTCTCAGTGAAGAAATAGCCATCATTAACCTGTGATTAATAATCACAGGGGAAGGTCTGGTATATGATAATTAATGGCAGAAACCTGACTATTTTAAATGCTATCTATCATCTACAGAGCAAGACTACAATTCTTTTGTTTAACTACATTACAAAAAAAGCTATCCTGCAACCTCATTTTCAGGAACTATATTCTTTCTTGTGTTATTCATGTACTAACCCAGACTTTAATTCTAGAACCCCAAATAACTCATTTTTTCCAATATTTTCTTCTAGATTCTAAGCTCCTACAGGAAAGGGACTAATTCTTTTTATTCTTACAGGTAAGCCCTCAAATTTCAGTCACTGTATAAATGCTTATGTTAGCAAGCCTCCAAAATAACCTTTATTGTGATACACTCATGTTAGTTACAACATCTTGAAAGCTTTTTAACCTTATAAAGCTACAGTTTACAACATGCCACAAATTGAACACCATAATTTGCTAATATTTCCTAAGCCACAAAGAAGCTTGGGGAATCAGATGCTAATTAAGAAAATGAGCACTATCTTTTAATTCTTTGAATCCAATATAAGAAATGTCATAGCAGGGAGCTAGTGGCTTACACCTGTAATTCAAGGTGTAATTGGGAGGTTGCGAGCAGGAGGATCAGGAGGCCAGACTAGGCACACACATGAGACCTCTTCTAAATCAACAGGTAGGCGTGCTGTAGAACATGCTTCTCATCCAACTACAATGGGATGCCTAAGTGGACTGTAATCTAGGTGTATCAAGGAGGGGGGGTGGGTGTAAAAAAGTATCCATCGCAAAAAAGGACTGGAGGTATGGCTCAGTGGTAAAGCCCCTAGAAATAAACAGAAGGTTAAGTTCAAACCCCATTACACCCCCCCCACCCCGCCCAAATCCATCAATCCATTGTTTAGGGTGGAAAAGCCCTGAAATTTAAACACAAGAGAGGCTGAAGGAGGGAGGAGGATCACCAGTTTTAAGGTCAGCCTAGTCTACATGACAAGATCTTACCCCAAGGGAAGAAAAACGAGACAAAATAGGTGTATCATTCTTTTTCACTGCACTTTTTATCCAGACAAGATTTAAGATAAAGACAGTGTCTCTTAATGTATCTCAGCCTTTCAGGCCTTAAATTTTAAGTGTATACCATTATGTATAACTTTCTTCCACATAATTTTATTAAGTACAGAATTTAACTTGAATTATCTCTACCTTTTTTTTTCCTGCTCTGAAAAAGGAGCACTAGTTGGGCACTAGTGGTCATACCTATAATTAATCCTAGCTACTCAGGAAGCTGAGATCTAAAGATTGTGATTCAAAGCTACCCTGTGCAGAATCTTCAATTAACTAAAACCAGAAGGCTTATAGAGCACCAGCCTTCAGTGAAAAAGCTAAGGGACACTATCCCAGAGTTCAAGCCTCAGGTCTGGCACCAAAAGCAAATAATGAACTCTTAATTCAGTACCTCACTATATATGCCAAGGTGGCCTTAAACTTTCAATCCTCTTCTCTCAGCCAACTGTATACTGATATTACAGGCATATATCACAATATTCAATAGCTAAGAGCTGGTGGCTCATGCCTATAATCCTAGCCACTCAGGAGGCTGAGATATGAAAATGACAGTTTTACGCCAACCTAGGCAAGAAAGTCCATGAGACTCTTAAAAGTATAGCTATGGCTTAAGTGGTAGAGTGCTAATCTTGAACACAAAAGGTAGAGACATCACCCTCACCCCGAGTTCAATCTCTAGGAATGGGGTTAAAACAAAACACATACATATGCACACAAAACTCAGCTTTTAAAAAGGGACTTAAACATATTTATAGTTCTACTTCCATAGGAGAGTATTTACAAGTTAGATTTGTACACATGAATACACACTCTGTAATAGCAGGGTTTAAAATTTCTTGCTTTGGGCACTTGTGTCTCACATCTATAATCCTAGCTACTCAGGAGGCTGAGATCTGAGACTCTCAATTGGAAATCAGCCAGGGTAGAAAAGTCTGTGAGACTCTTATCTCCAATCAACTACCCAAAAAACTGGAAGTGGAGCTGTAGCTCACAGGGTAGACTGCTAGCTTTAAGCCAAAAGGATCAGGGATAATACTAGGCCCTGAATTCAGGCTTGGAACTGGCACAAAAAATAAAAAAACTAAAGAACCTTCTTGCTTTCCCAAAGGTAAATCATATCATATAATACTCTGATTCATGAACATTTAAATTATAGCAATATTCTTAGCTTTTATTTTTGTCAAAAGTTCACATACCTGGTCAGCTAACATAAGTACAGTTTTCATTGTGAACCTCCTTGAACAGAAATTGAAGAGGTCTTCAAGGCTGGGTCCCAGAAGATCCATGACTAGCACGTTATAGTCTTTTTCCTGACCATACCACCTAGCAAAAGGGAAAAAAGAAAATGAGGTACTATTATGAAATGTAATTATATTATCACTATTTTCACCCTTAGGATGAAGATAGCTTTCCTTTTCTGGTTGTGATTTATTTATTTTTTGCCACTCCTGGGGCTTGAATTCAGAGCCTGGGCACTGTCCCTGAGCTTCTTTTGTTCAAGACTAGCACTCTACCACTTGAGCCACAGTACCACTTCCAGCTTTTTTGGTTTACGTGGTATTGAGGAAATGAACTCAGGGTTTCATGCATGCTAGAGAAGCACTCTACCACTAAGCCATATTCCCAGCCCCTGGTTACATTTTATTTAAGGTAATGTGTTCAGATTATGAACCAACTGATTTAACTACATTGTTCAATACAGAATAATAAAATATTTTTCCCATTACATGACCTCATTGTCCTATAAAGACAGGACATGCACCGCAGCCTTAATTAGTCCTCTCACAGAGACAGAGCAATTATACTCTCATCAGCCACTAAACCAATTCCTGTGAATCTGGGTAAATTTTGTAATCTCACCTGGATTTACTGAAGAGATCCAGTAGATCCTAAGGACAATGACTCTTATATCAGCCATTCCAAACCTTTCAAAAAGCAAAGATCTCTTTTATCAGATGAGTAAGCATTAACTGAAATCAGACTTGACTTAAAATCTGTAGACAATCTAAAGTATATCAATATAAAAATCTCCTTTCAGATAGGTTCTGATATCTGAAGATCTCGGTTTGAAGCCAACCCAGGCTGGAGAGTTCAAAAGATTCATATCTCTAATTAACCACAAAAAACTGGAAATAGAGTTGTGGCTCAAGTGGTAGAGCCAGCCTTGATTACTTGGACATCAAGCCCAGAGTTTAAAACTTCAGGCCCAGCTAAAACAAAACTCCACTACCAAAGCACCTCAACTTCAATTCCCACTTTCCCTATGCATTCAGGTTAGAAACTCATTTAACCTTAGACATTTTTAGTGATAAGTAGATGACGCGCTATTGCTAAGTACACTGTGGTAAATGTTCCTGAGATTTAAAATAACCCATGTATTTATTTTGTGTTGATAATAAGACTTGAAATCAGAACCTCCAGCTCCTGTTTAGCTTTTTTGCTCAAGGCTGGTGGTGCTCTACCATTTGAGCCAATCTCCATGTACTCTAATTTTAACAATAATTGTTATGTAACAGGAAACAATTTAAAAAGTAAAATGCTAGGGGTTTTATTTTCTATTTAACTCAATACCTTTAGACTTTAGTGTTACCTGAAATTATTTGGAGTATTACAAAAAGGCCCTTAAGAATATACTAAGTCATGGGGCTGGGAAGGTGGCTCAGTGGTAGAGTGCTTGCCTTGCATGCATGAGGCCCTGTGTTCGATTCCCCAGCACCACATAAGCAAAAAGAAAAAAGCCGGAAGTGGTGCTGTGGCTCAAGTGGTAGAGCGCTAGCCTTGAGCTGAAGAGCTGAGG